GTCTCATTTGATAGAATGGAAGATATTTTACAGAAATAGAGATGATTTTGATTGGTTTTAGTACTGAAAATGGCTTGAAACTGAACTCAAAGTAGCGGAAATGTTAAATTTTTGCCGATGTTCAAGAGTAAACAAATCACATCACTCGTCCAATACATGTCAGCTGATGGGTCTTATGTACATTTACAAATGCACTGTTATTATTTATACAATTATTACAATGTTGCATAACAGTAAATCTTCCACTTTTTTTTTTTTAATAAAAATTCATTATGTTAATAAAAAATCAAAATGGAAATCATTTGTAAAGCCTGAAAACTTAACTAATGAACAGAGGAAATGTTAGTTTAGTGAAAGGAATGCTTGCATTGTTTATTCTGGACCCTATTTTGAAATAGGAATATTTTGAACTTTGTGATAAATTCTCCAAATTACCAATTTCTGATCACTTTACTGGGTAGTTACAACAGTTGACTTGGCGATTTCTTGTGCTCAGTCAATAAAATAGAAGTAATACTAGCGAAATGGCTAAGAATTTGGTTGACTGGAATAATGTAATTGGCCTAAAATGGGAGTCAAAGTCGGCAAAACCGGTGATACGTAAATATTGCTGATGCATCAAAATTCGCGAGAGCATAATTTCGTCAATTTTCCATTAAATTTTGTATTTTTTGTTTTATTACCTTCGGAAAAAGATTCTCTACCATTTCATAAGAAAAGATAATTTTTTTTTTTTTTAAATTCTTGAACCCTGTGGACAACGTCTCAGATTTTGGGTCTGGACCCCGAAAGGGTTAAAATACGGCATCAGATGCCCTTCCCTGCCGTAGCTGTTGCACAGAAAAGCGGAAAAAGCACTGAGCATGAACAGCAGCTCAATTGAAAAACTACCAAAATAATGTGACACTAAAAAGAGGAAGCCAAAAATGCCAGACTTTCCTGTACACAGGTTGGTCCCACTTGTATGGTGGATTAGATAACATGTTTACACTATCATATATTAGGTGTGCAATAGAGCTACGATGCGAAAATAAAATGAATATACAGGACATATTACTTACCTTTAAATATTTTCATCCTTGGTAAATCCACCATATTTGATAATCCTAGCTAGCTGACGTGGACAACATTCTGCAGCTATTGTATCAGCGCTAACTGCTTCACCCTGCACTTCGTTATGAAGGTGGAATTCTTTCCTTAAATCTATGAAACCAGCCTCTGCTGGCTTTAAATTTATCTTCAGCATCTTCCTCACCTCTCTCAGCCTTCATAGAATTGAAGACTTGGGGTGTGCCCTGGATGATGGCCATGATTAAAGGCATGTTGTGACTGGTTTGATCTTCAACCTACAATAGTAAAATTTTTCCATGCCAGCAATAAGGCCATCACATTTTCTAACAACTAGTGCTCACTGGTGTAGCACTAATTTCCTTCAACACTTTCTTTTTCGAGTTCACAACTGTACTAACTGCTTGGGAAGCTTAACCTAGTTTACCTCCTATCTCAGCCATAGACATGCCTTGCTCACAGTTTAGTCATTTCTAACTTGCCATTTAAAGTAAGAGGCTGATGACTCCTTTTTATCACAACTACCCTTAGACATATATTAACACATCGGCTGATTCCCACCAAGGCAGGGTGGCCCGAAAAAGAAAATTTTTTATCATTCACTCCATCACAGAGGGATGCTTTACAGTTATAAAATTGCAACATTAACACCCCTCCCTCAGAGTGTAGACATTGTACTTCCCATCTCCAGGACTTGAGTCGGCCTGCCAGTTTCCCTGAATCCCTTCATAAATGTTACTTTGCTCACACTCCAACAGCACATCAAGTATTAAAAAACCATTTGTCTCCATTCACTCCTATCAAATACGCTCACGCATGCTTGCTGGAAGTCTAAGCCCCTTGCACACAAAACCTCCTTTACCCACCTCCCCCCTCCAACCTTTTCTAGGCCGACCCCTACTTCGCCTTCCCTCTACTACAGATATATACACTCTTGAAGTCATTCTGTTTTGCTCCATTCTCTCTACATGTCTGAACCACCTCAACCCCTCCTCAGCCCTCTGGATAATAGTTTTGGTAATCCCGCACCTACTCCTAATTTCCAAACTACGAATTCTCTGCATTATATTCACACCAAACATTGCTCTCAGACATGACATCTCCACTGCCTCCAGCCTTCTCCTCATTGCAACATTCATCACCCATGCTTCACACCCATACAAGTGTTGGTATAACTATACTCTCATACATTCCCTTTTTTGCTTCCACGGACAAAGTTCTTTGTCTCCACAGACTCCTATGTGCACCACTCGCCCTTTTCCCCTCATCAATTCCATGATTCACCTCATCCTTCATAATGACCCATCTGCTGACACATCCACTCCTAAATATCTGAATACATTCACCTCCTCCATACTCTCTCCCTCCAATCTGATATCCAATCTTTTGTCACCTAATCTTTTTATCCTCATCACCTTACTCTTTCCTATATTCACTTATAATTTTCTTCTTTTACATACCCTACCAAATTCATCCACCAACCTCTGCAACTCTGTAATTAACACGAAGATATTATACATATATACGTAATAACTTTAAAACATTTGAAACCTCGGAAAATTGTCAGAATACAGAGAAGCAGAGCACACAAATGTTGTAACTAGTGAATTATGGATAAAAAAAAATGGTGCCGGACACCCTTCCCTGACTCAGCTGTTGAGAGTGTCAGGCCAATAAATCCCCCCTCCCCCCCCCAAAAAAAAAGAAAATGGAACAAGTGTGTGTGCACGAGCACGTGTGCGCGCACACACGCGCCCGCACACACACACACACACACACACACACACACTATGCAACATAAAAAAACTACAAGTTTATCTTACAACACACCTTGGTTAGTGGAGTATTGTTTTCAGTTATATATTATACAAATCAATATTCTGCAAGACATTATGTAGTCCAAACTTCACACATTCACCCATCTTGTCCATCAAAATTATGATTCAAGGAATTATGATGTATGACTATTACAGACCTGTCATCATAACACTTCCCTTTCAATATATTTGGTCATCTTTCAAATAATCATGGTTTTATAATATTGGATACAATATTTTAGATACACTGATACACAAAGTACTGGCAATTAATTTTGTCAACCAATCACCATCACTGCTGCAAGCAGTGTTAATTCATTCATGAAAATCAGTCTATGCCTCTGTTTATTATGAGTTGCCAGATGTCACTTCAGTCCAACAAATTAAAGGAACTTCTTCCTGCAACTTTACATCTGGCACAACACTAAAAATGAAAGTAGGTGGGAGTGTGGTCCTTAAGTGGGAGAGAGAGTAGTCTCTCAAACATGTAACTGATAACCAGAAACCCAAACCATGGTTTGACATAATGCAATTTATTGTGGACCAACTCAGACTACCCCATAGAGAATAATGAAGTTATAGTAAGTAACTGAGCTTTCACACACAAGTGGACAACAGAAACTCGGAATTTTTCAAGGGGTAAGAGAAAGGCAAGATGTTGGATGAATGAAGCAAATTAAGGGAAGCCAAGAGTAAATAAGATAAAAGGAGCATAGTAGAGGGGCAGTGATCAAACAGAATAATGGAAACTATGGGCATCACACCAATTTTGCAAAGAGGAAACTTCTACCTCTGCATACAGGCTCTCTACCAGGAATGAAAAGCACCTAGATACAACTGCAATGCTCAATAATGAGTGGAAATAAATTTACAGAGTTGTGGGAGAGGCTGCAGAATACAGTTGGTCACCACAGTCCAATTTAAATAAGATTAGAGTAGCCCCCAAGAAAGATAGGCTGAATAAATGGTGAGGACTATGACTCCTAAAGAGGCATTGACCAAGTGCAAGGGAGTGGGTACTGACCTAAATACTAAAAGGTTTTTAGTGTTGTTATAGCTGAAATCAGTGATGTCCTTTACATTGGACAAGAAAATTACAAAAGCATATGGAATTGCTATTAAAGTCAATGAAACAACCTATTATATTTTTTTTATGTAATTCATAAAATAAACCATCTCACAAAATATTTGTCCTAATGTCATTAGTTTAATAACAAACAAGAAAAAATTAACAATAAACTATTTTGCAAAACAAAATTTATTAAAACAATTTCATACATATTAAAAATTTCAATTAGATGACACTAAAATATAAAAAATATAGTTATATGGTTGCCAATTTGACAAATAAAAACACCATTTTATAAATATATAAAAGAAGTCTTAAGCACATGCTGTGCAATGGCCAAGTATTTCATAAGGCTTTTTTTTTTTTTCCCCCATTGTAAAACACTAATTTTCTTCAAATGAGAGACTGACAATTAAAAACCATAGAATAATATTTTAAAAAATTACATATAAAAGCAGTTAAAATGAACAAACTGTCAATGAAAGACAGTCTTGTTATTTTTTATTCTTTTTTTTTTTCCATATTACAATGTTGAAAACATTGCCAAAGTACACGACAACCATAAAATTAAAAATATTGTCCATTTGTTATTTCTTCAAATCTTATGTCATGATATTTATCAAAAAAAACATTTGTATTTTTTATGAGGCCAGAAGAGGTGGTGACATTTGCCACACATTTAAAGTACAAAAACCATTACATAGGATGGACCTACCGCACTTTGTTTTTTCCCACTAAAATTTCCTTGAAAACATGTACAAATAAAAACCTTTATTTAAATCGTACAAGAATCTTTGCACAAAAGTGTTAACTTGTTTTTTAATAACAAAACGAGTGCCCAGGGGTTTGACGCAAGAGAAGCCCACTCAGTACGAACATATTAAACATGGCCCAAAGGGCGTTTTTGCATCAACTTGTTAACTTGTAAAAAATCCTTTTTTGGGAAAACGTCTTTCAAGAGTCTAAATTAAAGTATCATTTTCAAGCATATTCCCCCGAGTAGCTTTTTTTCCCAAAAGTGTTTGGTTTGCCCACCACTTATGCTTTGTTAGCCACATTTTGGGAATCCTGTCGATTTTACAAGTCTTTATCGGCATTTAAAACTTCAGTCTCTGCTGTACTGCTGTGACTAGTATTAGAATTCTCAAGGGCCAAAGAGGCAGTAACATTAAAATCATCTTCAAATTTGCATAAGCACCTCGTTTTCCAGAATCCACAGAAACATCAAGGTTGTTCACATTCAGCCTTGTATATTCATCATCACTGGCAACAGCATTAAGATTACTAACTTTTGGCATGCCACCATCATCAGCATTTTGAGCTAGGCAAGGGTAATCTTCCAAATTCGTTTCAGGTCGGGAGATATTCAGCTCATTATATGATGATGACGATGAGCAGAACGCTGCTTCTTCCGTAAGGTGGGGTTGCTGGGTTTTGGGACCCTCACTGGACAACTGGTCTGCCGAGCGGCGTAACTGAGATGCCATAGTATAGTAGTGTGGCTTCACTTCACCCACTGGACGTGAATAAGTCAGATGATCGTAATCACCATCTGTCAAAAAAATAATGAATGTGTAACTTATTTTGAGAATATAAAGCCCATTTGACAAAACACTATATAAATACCTTTAAAGTGTTTATGTACTGTGTGTGCATTATATAAACAAACATATCTATCTCTCTACCTGTCTCAACCTACCTACCTACCTACCTCCCTCTCTCTCTATACATCTCTCTCTCTCTCTCTCTCTCTATACATCTCTCTCTCTCTCTCTCTCTCTCTCTATACATCTCTCTCTCTCTCTCTATACATCTCTCTCTCTCTCTCTCTATACATCTCTCTCTCTCTCTCTCTATACATCTCTCTCTCTCTATACATCTCTCTCTCTCTCTCTATACATCTCTCTCTCTCTCTCTATACATCTCTCTCTCTCTATACATCTCTCTCTCTCTCTAACATCTCTCTCTCTCTCTATACATCTCTCTCTCTCTCTCTCTTATACATCTTCTCTCTCTCTCTCTCTATACATCTCTCTCTCTCTCTCTCTCTATACATCTCTCTCTCTCTCTATACATCTCTCTCTCTCTCTCTATACATCTCTCTCTCTCTCTATACATCTCTCTCTCTCTCTATACATCTATCTCTCTCTCTCTCTATACATCTCTCTCTCTCTCTCTATACATCTCTCTCTCTCTCTCTCTAATACATCTTTTCTCTCTCCTCTCTATACATCTTCTCTCTCTCTCTTCTATACATCTCTCTCTCTCTCTCTCTCTCTCTCTCTATACATCTATCTCTCTCTCTCTCTCTCTCTATACATCTATCTATCTCTCTCTCTCTCTCTATACATCTATCTATCTCTCTCTCTCTCTATACATCTCTCTCTCTCCCTCTCTATACATCTCTCTCTCTCCCTCTCTCTCTAATACATTCTCTCTCTCTATACATCTATCTCTCTCTCTCTATACATCTCTCCTCTCCCCCTCTCTTCATACATCTATCTCCTCTCTCTATACATCTATCTCTCTCTCTCTCTCTATACATCTATCTCTCTCCCTCTCTATACATCTCTCTCTCTCCCTCTCTCTCATAATACATTCTCTCTCTCTATACATCTATCTCTCTCTCTCCTATACATCTATCTCTCTCTCTCTCTATACATCTATCTCTCTCTCTCTCTATACATCTATCTCTCTCTCTCTCTATACATCTATCTATCTCTCTCTCTCTCTATACATCTATCTATCTCTCTCTCTCTCTCTATACATCTATCTCAATCTCTCTATACATCTATCTCTCTATATATCTCTCTCTCTATACATCTCTCTCTCTCTCAAATACATCTCTCTCTCTCTCTATAATCTCTCCCTCTCTTATACATCTCTCTCTCTCTCTATACATCTCTCTCTCTCTCTATACATCTCTCTCTCTCTCTATACATCTCTCTCTCTCTCTATACATCTCTCTCTCTCTCTATACATCTCTCTCTCTCTCTATACATCTCTCTCTCTCCTATACATCTCTCTCCTCTCTCTATACATCTCCTCTCTCTCTCTAAAACATCTCTCTCTCTCTCTATACATCTCTCTCTCTCTCTATACATCTCTCTCTCTCTCTATACATCCTCTCTCTCTCTATACATCTCTCTCTTTTCTATACATCTCTCTCTCCTCTATACATCTCTCTCTCTCTCTATACATCTCTCTCTCTCTATACATATCTCTCTCTATACATTCTCTCTCTCTCTCTATACATTCTCTCTCTATACATCTCTCTTCTATACATCTCTCTCTCTATATATACATCTCTCTCTCTCTATACATCTCTCTCTCTCTCTAACATCTCTCTCTCTCTATATATACATCTCTTCCTCTCTATACATCTCTCTCTCTCTATATACATCTCTCTCTATACATCTCTCTCTCATATACATCTCTCTCTCTATACATCTCTCTCTATACATCTCTCTCTATACATCTCTCTCTATACATCTTCTTCTCTCTATACATCCATCTCTCTCTCTATACATCTCTCTATACATCCATCTCTCTCTATACATCCATCTCTCTCTCTATACATCCATCTCTCTCTCTATACATCCATCTCTCTCTCTATACATCCATCTCTCTCTCTATACATCTCTCTCTCTCTCTCTATACATCTCTCTCCTCTCTCTATACATCTCTCTCTCTCTCTCTCTCTCTCTCTCTCTATACATCTCTCTCTGATTTTAAGGCAGAGCTTGCACTCTGGGCTTATAAAGGAAGTGCAAATTAATCCTAACAATTACTACAGTAGAGGTTGAATATCTCTTATCTGAAATTCTGAACTTTTTTTGAGCACCAACATTATGCCACCAATAGAAAATTCCAGTTGGCTTGGGAGGCTCCCAGGAATTGTGCACATCTGTGCACTGTAGGTGGAGACAAAGACCCCCCCCCCCTCCTTTTTTTCTTACAGCTGATGCAGGTATTCTGCCAATGCTATTGTACTGCTTTTATTAAAAATATTGTATGAAAGTACCTTCAGGCGCTCTGTATAAGAAGCGAAATATGAATGGATTTCATGTTTAGATTTGGGTCCATCCCCAAGCCATTTAGAGCGCTATATTTCAAAATTAAAAAAATTCCAAAATCCAAGACACTTCCAGTCCCAAGCATTTCGGATAAAGGATATTCAACCTATATTTCACTAATGTTCAATATTAAATATAGACTAACCAAAGATGGGTTGGGCAGGAATAAGCTAAATTATATTACACTACTTTTAGCATAGGTAGCATGTTAGTTTTGATAAATTAAAAAATTGTACAGTATATATTAACTCACAAAATATACTGTGTAATTACTTGTAAAAACTGTATAAAAAATATCTTATGGGTAGTCTGGCTTGTTTGACTAATAGTTAAATTTACAGGCAAAGGACTTTTATCCTACCTTAGCTCATTTAAAAACCTAGCTCTACCTAAGGTATGACTACCACCAGAAAGCAAGCAAGCAGCACCAACACTAAGGTACCTACATACTACTAGAGCAACAGGAATAAGATGTCCCATGTCTCTCCCTCCTAGGGAATTGAACCAGAGCTCCTTCTGGGGAACCAAGCACTACCACTCGGTTAGTAAGTTCCAAAAGATTAGCATACGTGATACCATTTTATAAATACAGGATCAAGAAAAAAAAGACCTTGGGACAACTAGAAAAAAAGTTATCTCCATAAATTATATAAGTATACTAAAAAGCTCATGCTATGCTAATTTTAAAACAGATTTCTAATAACAGTTCAAGTAATAAACCATTACATTAAAATATAAAACCCTCGGTATGATGTCCACACCTTAAAAACAATAGACTTTTAGAAAGACGTATAACAAAATGTATTCCTCACGCAAGAAGTAGAAGTAATGAAGAAAGAATAAAGGCAATAGAAATGTTCTAGATGGGAGAGAAGCAAACTTAAAAATACTAAATTCCTATAATAAGACAAACTGAGGCAACGGATGCAGCGGTTGGTTAGTAGATGGAACTCTGGAACATTATTATAATCAAAATGAAGCGCTAAACCTTCATACTCTGGAACAACACATGTATACAATACACTTATGTTCACACTTTAAAGTGCATTTATTATTGTTCTAATGCATAATAAAATTAAACCATTTAATATAAAAATAAAAATTCAAACATTAGTTTTATTAAAACGACAACTTCATATAAAATAAATACTTGGGGCTCCTTACACCTGAGAACACTGCAATAAGTGCCCCTTTTGTCTCTGAAGATCTACCAATGAATGAATGTAAGATAGAATTTAAGGAAGCCGAGCAGGATTAAATCAGAATAAAAAAAAATAATCATAAGGTCACGCAATGCATGTACAGAAAATTTTGACAAAATTGTTAAAGTATCAGACAGTAATCTACAATTACTGACAGTGTCAGAGGAAGATTACAAAATCAACAAACTCTGCTACAATGACAAACTTCATAGCATATGTCCATTTCCAATTAAAATATTTCTCAGCTATACATTTTAAAGTTTTACACCATAAAACCAAAAAACCTTTCAAAACAATATCTGACAGCGATTTTCTTCAATACGTGAAGTGGTGTATCCAAATCAATTCACATTTTTTAACATTTCAGTAAAGAGGTACCTATTTTAGTAGTCATAGATTTACTAAAAATTCCCCTTTTGAGGACAAATTTCTTATTACCTTAGTTGGATGGCCAACTTAAAAGTTAATAATAGCTTTCATATATAAAGAAATGATAAAGCTGTTTACAAGATGCAGCAGGTTTAAAAAAAAAAAAAAAATAATGTGGACATCAAAAAAGGCCCAAAAACATGCTGCATAGTACTTATCAGAGATTGAAAATAAAAAATACATATAAAAAGTTACGGCTGAATGCACTTAAAACTGCCCTCACTGGCCAATAATAGGAGGCAATACGTTAAATACAACAAATGGATACAGAAAAAGTAATTATTTTTCTAATCACCACTGGAAAGAACAGGCAGCCAGAACTGTAAACTGAGAAAAAGTAATGCTTAAAGTATATCTGAAAGACTTTCTTTGCAAATACAAGCAGAATATGGAAATAGGATTCAAGAAAAAGCACTAAGTAATGCATGTCTACAACCACTGGAAATTTTAAAAACACATAATTAATCACTGGAGATGTTAAGACAGACTATAGCCCTGCACTTTTAACTAAATAACTATTAGACAATCACAAACAGATACTGCACTCTCAGACTTTCTCACTGAAAACCAAAAGAAAGCACACATTTACATTACCATATAAAGCTTTAGTCATCTATACATTCATTAAAAGAACTGTACTCTTACAGACTAAAAACCAAACAACAGCTTAAATACTCGCATGATGATCTAGCCATATATTTTGGCCAAATAGAGGTTATTATTCAGCAAAGCAAGCTAAAATTCTCCTAAGATAATGAATGCTTGATAAAAGATACTCAAGGCGTAATACATATCCTAAATTACAAAGAAACTAGGAAAATGATTAACAAAAGCTTTGATTATTA